CATGGCAAAGGCTGGCCACAGTTTGGAGGCTCTGTGCTTGTTCTTCCCCATCTACAGCTGTGCAGAGGTACCTGTATCAACTCCTATAATTGCTTAACTCCTATACAGCCGTGTAACCCTTAGCACTCCTAGAGACTGTTATTGTTGACATTTATATTGTACAGATGATGGAACTGAGACCAAGAGAGGTTGGTGGACTTGCCTGAGGTCATATGGTCTGCTGCCAGTTGACCTTCATGGGATCCCACCCTTCCACACAGTGAAGCAACTCTCAATACTATGGGAGGAACCCTTCAGCACCCCCAACAGGCAATTGTCTACCACAGTCCTAAATTTCAAAGCCAAATGAAGCCCATGATGGCCTTCCACTCCTTTGTGGAACATCTGTTTGGTTCCCAGGACAAAAGGTGAAGGCGAGAACTGAGTTTCCTCTAAAGAAATGGGAGGGTCCAACTTCTTCCACTAGGACCTCAGGAAATGACTTCAGCAGCCCCGCTTGGCCAGTTTTCTGGTGTTAATTGTTTTCTCACACCCAAGAATGCTAGTCCCCACCTCCTGAGCCATAGCCACCTCGTGAGCCCTATTCTTCCTGACTATAATTAGGAATGTCACCCGGGTGTTGCTGTGGAAAGCAACACCAAGAGCCCTTCACACACCTGCCCTGGGAAGCAGTGGCAGCCCAGCCCTGAGCTCAGCTCAGAACCAGCTGCTGCCAGCTTGCCGGCAGGGACAACAGGCTCACAGAAGGTGCGGGTGCCGTTGCACTGCATAATAAAGGCAGCTGGAGCGGGGGATCACACTTCCAGGGCCAATCTCCGCTGCTAGAGGGAAAGGATCCTTAGGGACCACCGCCTGCAACCAGCCACCTTACTTTTTGGAAGAGGAAACTGAGGCCCAGAGAGGGGAATTGTCTGGTCCAGAATCACACAGGACCCACTGGCATGAGAACCCAGGCTGTCCGCTGTCCCAGCCCATGTTCCCCACTCTCCAACCATACACCAACATTTATGATAGTAGTTTTTAATCAGGGTGATTTTTCCATCCAAGGGGCACTTGGGAATGTCAGGAGACACTTTTGGTTGTCTCAACTGGAGAGGCGGGTGGAGTAGAAGGCAAGGACGCAGCTAAAGCTCCTACAGTGCGCAAGACTGTCCCTATAACAAAACTTACTTGATCCAAAATGTCCATAGTGCCCAGATTGAGAAACCCTGGTTTAGGAGCACTACCTCTAGGAAGGCATCCCTGCTTTCTCCTGCTGAGAATCATCTCTCCAGAGAAAATTATTAACACCAGAAAACTGGCCAAGAAAAACAGAACTTTAGCAATTCCTCTGATACTGAGAAAAGCTCACTTTGTATTAGAGTTAGAAGATCATATAATTCAATGTCAAGTTTGTGGATTCTGGAGTCTAAAGCCCTGAGTTCAAATCCTGGCTACCCATTTCCTAGCTATGTGACTTTGGGCAAGTTACTTAAATAGTCAAAGCCTCAATTGCTTTATCTGTAAAAATGGGAGTGAGGATGGTAATATTCTTGCTTCATAGAATTGTTGTGAACACATATTAGTTAATCCATAGAAAGCACTCAACAATTACATATGAATTAATCTTGCCCCTAACTAGCCCATGGTCTCTGTCCAGTAATGACTCAATAGTCTCATTCCCCTGCCACTTTACCTAACACATGACACTGCAAATTATAGGGTTGTGTTTTTTTTTAAAGAATGTAGGCAGATGAGAAATGTCGAGAGCAATGTTACTTAAGCACCCTAGATCATGGTCATACCCATAACAGGTGAGCTCCTTCATGTACAGCCTTGCTCAGTGCCTTTAAGAAGCTGCCTTCACACACACACACACACACACACACACACACACACACACCCCAAAGACACATCCTGGTGTAACTCCCACCTTGTGTGATCACTGAGACACAAACACTCTTAGGTAGAATCTACAGCCAGGTTTCTCAACATCATCACTACTGACATTTTGGGCTAGTTAATTCTATGCTGTGGGGTGCTTTCCTGTGCATTCTAAGATGTTTAGTAGAATCCCTGGCCTCTACCTATTAAATTCCATTAGCATACAAAATAAAACCTATTGGGACAACAAAAAATATCTCCAAACATTGCGAAAAGTCCCCTAAGGGGCAAAACTCACCCCATTTAAGAGCTAGCAGTCTTGCTTAGCCAGAGTGGCTCAATTTGTTGAGTATCATCCTGTGTACTGAAAGGTTGCCGGTTCCATTCCCGATCAGGGCACATACCTTAGTTGCGGGTTCAATCCCCAGTCAGGACGCGTACAGAAGGCAACTGATCAATGTTTCTCTCATCTCTCTCTCTCTCTCTCTCTCTCTCTCGTCCTCATGTGAGGATTTTAAAAAAAATAGAAAAATAACTACTGGTCTTAGCATAAATTCTCAGGTAGAGCTATATCACCCTCAATGAGGCAAAAATTGGTTCTTAGGGTACAAAAAAAATCTTATCCTTTTTATGTGTAAAGCATAGATATACATATAATACACAAACAGATATGCAGTATACTGTGGTAATAAAATGTATAGATGGAGGCAATTAAGGAGGAAAATAAAACACTCTAAAAATGTTCCTGGAAAAATAATGAATAAAGATTGAGAAACACTGCTCTAGGCAATTCATCTTTTATAAGGTGTCGTCAATTGAATAAAAGTATATCTTACTAAATACCTAGTAATAATAATATCTTCCAAGCTCTGTGCTAAGTCCTGTGCTCATTCACTCAGGTAAGCCATTGCTTCTGTAACCAACTTACAAGTGAAAGCTCTGAGGCCTTGACAGCCCTGAAAAGACAGAGCCAGGACTCTAAGGCAAGTCCATGTGACTACCAAGAGCTCCTGTGACCTACTTAGTCATGGAGCCCTTCCCACTTGTTCACTTATATCCAGACTTTCCTTGAGACACACTGTGGTTTTCAGGACTTTGAGATGATGACAATGGCTGATAATTATGGACTGACTTCTCTCAGCTAGGATCCCTGTGGTAACTCAAGTCCTACTCCTAGCAACTCTATAAGGTAGATTCTGTTACTGTTGACTTTCTACAGATGAGGGAACTAAGACCCAGAGAGGCTCAGTCACTTGCCCAAGGTCACACCACCAACAGGCAGAGGTGGGACTTTAATCCTGGCAGTTTGGATCCAGAGCCCACTGCATGGCCACCACCCTGCCATCCCCACACCTTCTACACAGGCACCCAAGGATTCAGGGGACTTTGGAATTTCTCAAAATAATGTCACCTCATTGTAGCTCCTGTCTGCCAATGGTGGGAGGGTCCCTGTGCTGTCTGTCCATCCACACCCTAGTCAGAAAAGCAGGGAAGGGCAGAAGGTGGTAAGGAAATGTAGAAAGGCAGGCTGGACAGATGGGAGGGAAAAGGAAGGAGAATAAATGAGGGGGACAAAGGGGAACAGGGAAGCCTGGAATGAAGGAAAGAGAAAATACCAGAAAGGAAGCTGGGCTAGGAGCAGGAGCTCAGATACTGGGGAAGAAAGGGGAGGAGGGAGCAGCAAGGCTGAGCTATTTTTAAGAACCTAAGTGTTGCTGATTTGCATTTTTAGCATCTCTTTGCATATTGAGGTCAGAAGGTCCCAACTCCTCATGTGAGAAGGAATAGGAATTCATTACTGCAGCTTTCTAGAAGACTCTTCAAGTACACTCACTGGGCTCTTCCCTAATGAAGGAAAAGGGAGTAGAGGGGAAGATCTGATCCATCATCCTGCAAGGGTGTCACATTGCTAAGGGAAGGAATCATTGGATCCTGAGTGAGTGCCAGCAGGACACCCACACGGTCCCACTCATGGCATCTCCCTTGGCAGGTGGTATGTCAGATTCCCCAACCACAAAAGGAAGGGAACTGGGCAGGGAGCTCTCAAAGAAGCCGGACTGAGTTAGGTAATCACTCCATGAATTAATTCATAGAAAGAGCTCAAACCTCAAAAGAGGATGGAGTCCAAGGAAGCTGAAGGAAAATGATTGACAAGGCATCTCAGATGCCATACTCTTTGTCCTGAATCTTTGGGTGCAAAAAAGAAAGGAAAGAGGGAAGGAAGGGAGGGAGAGAAGGAGACCGAGAAAGAGAGAAGGAAGGAGGATGTTGGCTTCCAAACTAACGTAAGCGTTTGTCACTTGCATTATCCTCAAGCTGCCCTATGAAGTAGATACACAAAGAATCCCAATTTGTAGATTGTAAAACAGGCTTGGCTTGGCTGTTGCTTGCTCACAGTATTAGGACAGGCCTGTGATTTGAACCCAGAACTATTACACTATACTGACCCAAAAAACACACAAGGATGAGTAATCAAGGGGAGTTTGGGCACATGAGATAGAACCAGAATAAGAAAAGTCTCTTCGGGCCCTAGCTGGTTTGGCTCAGTGGATATAATGTTGGCCTGTGGACTGAAGGGTCCCAGGTTCGATCCCGGTCAAGGGCACATGCCTGAGTTGTGGGCTCGATCCCCAGTAGGGGGCGTGCAGGAGGCAGCTGATGGATAGTTCTCTCTCATCTCTGATCTCTCTCCCTCTCCTTTCCTCTCTGAAATCAATAAAAACATATTTAAAAAAAAAGAGAGAGAAGTCTCTCGTGACCCACATTGTCTCTCCCTCTCTCTCTCTCCATTCTCTCCCCCTACATATCTTTTCTGTTAACTCAGAGCAAACCAGTTTGGGGAGTCACTTAGGGCTCCCCTGTGCCCCCCAAACCTTTGACTTACATGCCAATTTGCTTTGTCACAATAAGAACTCTGACCCCAACTCGGTATTTCAAGTCCCATCACCAACTAACCTATTTAGTTTCAGTGTCACTAAATTCCAGTGCTCCACAGACAAGATGCAGTGCATACAGCCCAGCTTCTGGACTGCTCCCCTTGGAAGGCCCCTGAGATGTCCATGCCTGGCCCACTTAGGTGTGGCCTGGAGAAACAAGAGCAGGGAGTACAAACAGAAAAATTAGATGCCAGGGCTTACCAGGATGAGTAGAAGGGATTGCAATTGGCTTCTCCAGGGGGTCACTCAAAGATGGTGGCCTCTGCTCAGGGCAGTCTTTGCTAAAAGGCGATTACAGTGTCCATACTCAAGCTGAGCTGAAAAAGATAATAGGCAGAAAGGACAAAAGAAGTTTGACAGAAAGACTAGGTGACTGCCCACAAGGGAAAACAGGAAGAACACTCTAGAGCAGTGATGGCAAACCTTTGACACACATGTCAGAGGTGACACACGAACTCATTTTATTCGGCTGATTTTTCTTTGTTAAATGGCATTTAAATATATAAAATAAATATCAAAAATATAAGTCTTTGTTTTACTATGGTTGCAAATATCAAAAAATTTCTATATGTGACACGGCACCAGAGTTAAGTTAGGATTTTTCAAAATGCTGACACGCCAAGCTCAAAAGGTTCGCCATCACTGCTCTAGAGCCCTCACCAGAAAATATCTCCTCTGCCTGCCCACCTAGTGACTGGAGATCTGCCATTAAAGATCCCTGTGGAACCTCAGATAAGTCATGCACCCTCCATCTGCAGGAAAAGCATAAAAGACACTTTACTCTGGTGAGTGGCTAGAAAGGGTTATTAGGTGCTTGTGGGCATGCACATGAATGTTGGCAGTAACTGCTGGTTGTCTCCCCAGTATCCATTCTCCCCTTCTCCTATAAACAGATGTCTTATCTGGGCACATGGCCACCCAGCTAAAAACCAGCTTGCCCAATCTTCCTTGCAGCTAGCTGTGGATTGAGGCCAACACAATGAGAACAGAAGCAATAGCCAGGTCCTTGAAGGGAAAATGCAAGCTTTGCCTTCTCTCCACTTCTGCTTACTGGCAGGGTTCATGTAGGAGGGGAGCTGAATCAGCCATCAAAGCCTTAAGAACTGATATGCATTTTGAGGATGGCAGAGCAACAAGACAGAAAGTGCCAGGTCCCCAGGGCTGTAAGACCCTCCTATCAGCACTGATTGCTGGTGCTCACATTGTTAGATGGGTGAGATAAAAATTCCTTGCCAGCCAGTATTATTAGCAAGGAAAGACCTGGGCCCAGGTGACAGGTCTGATCCAAGCTCAGAGCCCCATCCTCAAAAGTATCTGCTACCTCTGTTAGGGAGATTTATTTTCTGATCCCCAAATCTGGACCCATTGTTTAAGCAAGCATTTGAAGGCCTCTTCGGGGAACAAGAAGCATTCTAGGAGGTACAGTCTGCATGATAAAACGTCAGTATTTATGGAATGTCTCAAACAAAGACAAGAACACAGGGAATCCTAGATGCTGAGTTACACTCAAAAAACCAGGTTGTGCAATATTTTCTTTAGGAGATGCCTGTACTCGTAATCCCAACCCTTCCCTTTGTCTTTCACCCCACCGTCTAACACATGTAAGGTACTTATCTGCACCATGAAGGTATTAAGGTTTACAACCTCCAGTGTAAATGAATCAAAGTAGAAAGTGTCCCCAAAGGAGAGGCTAAGATACAAGAACTCCATTGTAGACCTGACCATGAATTATCCAGGTCAGTCTACAATGACAGATTCGCCAACCATCTC